CCGGCCGGCCACATAAAGGGCTGGGGCAGCGGGTGCGCGCGCATTGGGCCGGTTGGCACTCCAGGTGGTGGTTGGTGCTGGAGGCTTCGCTGGGCGCGGGCAGGTGATAGGTGTAGCGCCCCCTTGTCCCAGAGGCTTTACTCAGCTCAGAGGTCCACCATCGCTTACTTACCGTGTGCCAAGGACTGCTAGGCATGAGCTAGAGAGGGTGAAATAAACACACAAGCCCCGCCTTCCAGGCGCTCCCCACGCTGCAGGGAACACAGACAATTAAAAGTGAGCCACACAGTGGTTGTGCATGGGCCTATGAACCAGGAGGTCACTGTTCGATTCCCGGTGGGGGCACATGACCAGGATGCAGGCTCCATCCCCAGTGTAGGGCATGCAGGAGGCAGCCGATCCATGATTCTCATCACTGATGTTTCTATCTCTCGTTCCCTTTCCCTTCCTCTCTGAAATCAATAAAAATATATATATTTTAAAAAACATTTTTAAAAAGTGAGCCACACACAAAAAAACCCACGAAGCTAAATATCCTTTATCAAGTTAAAAATGTTCTGTTAGGTCGCAATTATCATACAGGTTTTTTTCCTTTGATAGTTCGAAAGACATTCGATTTTTATTACATCATCTCGGTTTCCTAGGAAAAAGACAACTTGCTTGGTCTTGATATATTTTTCATTGCTAGACCATTTCTTAGAATATTAGCAACAATGAGCACTTTTGCATATTTGTCCATCAGTGAGATTGTGTGATCTCTGGCATGCAAAATGAACACAATTTTGGTTGTTGTGTAGTATTCCACGGCATGAATTTACCACCTCAGGGTTTATCCACGTTTATCCACTCTCCTATTGATGGGCGTTTGGGTTGTCTGCAGTTGTAAGCTATTAGCGAAGGAAAATGGGATTAAGCAGAAAAGACTCCTGGTGCCTCCAATGGGAAGCCGTGCCTCCTTGGGAAACGCCCTGCCGTTATCTGATTCTGATGCACTGGGGCCTCTGGGCCTTTCCTTGTCTTTGAGCTCTTTTACAACTCGGCAAATTGTAGAAAACTGATGTCAACGTTAATTATTCTAGTCTAGGGACATGCAAATAATTCTTATCTCGAGACAGCCCTCCCAACAGTGGGAAAGCCAGTTTTGCCGCCATTTGCAGGTTTATTTCAGATTTTTTGATCTTTAAATGTATCTGACTTTGGAATTCCCCTTTGAACTGATGATAACATCTGACTGGTTCCCTCATGAATTAAAGAGTTAAGTGAACTTTGTACTTGTCTCAAATAAACATGTACTGCCCTGGCTGGGTGGCTCAGCTGGTTCGAGCGTCACCCATTTACCAACAGTGTGCCGGTTCAGTTACGGTCAGGCACATGCCTGGGTTGTGGGCTGGATCCCCAGTAGGGGCCGTGCAGGAGGCAGCCACCGATGCCACATTGATGTCTTCCTCTCTCTCCCTCTCCCTTTCTCACTCTAAAAATCAATTTTTAAAAATCTTAAAAAAAACACACACACACACAACCTGGCCAGTGCGCTCAGTGGTTGGAGTCTCGGCCCAAGGGTCATGTATTTGGTTCCCAGTCAAGGGCATGTACCTGGGTTACAGGTTGGATCCCTGGCCCCAGTCAGCTGAGAGGCAACCAATCGATGTGTCTCTCTCACATCGATATTTCTCTGTGTCTTTCCCTCTCTCGTCCACTCTCCCTAAAAAATCAATGGGAAAAAATATCCACAGGTGAGGATTAAAAAAAAAAAATGGCAGGCAATTGGAGCAACTACTGGCCTGGAGGCCATCTATCTTGGGGCCCGGCCTCCACCTCCATGACCTCCATCCCTGCTGGCCCTGCCATGCTGGGGTCTCATCACCATGGAGATGGGCCGAGCTCCACAGCCCTGAACCCCGGTGCTCTGGGGGTCTCT